ACAATTGGTAGGTAGTCTGATCTACTTAACCTTGACCCGACCTGACATTTCTTATGCAGTTGGTGTGATGAGTCGGTATATGCAAAATCCAAAGAAGCCTCATTTGGAAGCAGTTCGACGAATACTGAGATATGTGAAGAATACAATTGACTATGGTCTTTTGTACAAGAAAGGTGAAGACTGCAAGTTAGTTGGTTATTGTGATGCTGATTATGCAGGAGATCATGACACCAGGAGATCAACAACTGGGTATGTGTTTAAGCTTGGCTCCGGAATAATTTCTTGGTGTAGCAAAAGACAACCAACGATATCATTGTCAACCACTGAAGCTGAGTATCGAGCAGCAGCAATGGCAGCTCAAGAGAGTACATGGTTGATACAGTTGATGAATAATCTACATCAACCAGTAGATTATGCAATTTCGTTGTATTGTGACAACCAATCGACAATTCGGCTGGCGGAGAATCCTGTCTTTCATGCAAGAACTAAACATGTGGAAGTACATTATCACTTTGTTAGGGAAAAAGTTTTGCAAGAAGAGATTGAGATGAGGCAAATCAAGACAGATGAGCAAATTGCTGACTTGTTTACAAAAAGCTTGAGTGTTGGAAAGTTTGAACATTTCCGTCGTCAGCATGGCGTGATTCAAAGAATGGAGGCTAACATTGAGGGGGAGTGTTGAAAATTCAATATTAGCCTATATGTTCACACCTAAATTAATTTGATGTCATTGCTTACATCAATTTAGTTTTGATGTCATTGCTTACATTAATTTAGTTAGGTGAAAATTAAGTATTTTTCTCATGTTTTAATTTCAATGGTTTAGATTATTTAGTGTTTATTTTTAATGAGTGGTTTAGATTGTTTCTTGTAACCTATAAATACCCTACTTGTATTTGAGTTTTATCATCCAACAATCAAAGCTTAATTATAAGCATTTGAAAGCTTTCTTAAGAGTTCTTCCCTTTTGCAATTTTGTGAGATTATTCTAAAGAGAGTTTTTTTTCGATCAATTAGAGTTTTTACTCTATTTTGATTCAACAATCGAGGAGGAAAGCAATCCATCTGTTGGCCAAGTGCAGATCTAGACATTATACTAAGTCTTCATTAATTAATTGTTTCCATAACAGCAATCCAAAGTGAGACAGGGAAGTGAAGGTTTGTCCGTGTCGTCAAACCATATAGATCTATAATTGATTTGATTTGAAGGATGCATTCTACGAAGACAAATGCAAGCTATTTAATTCCCTTCACCATGAATTCAAATCTTATAAAATAATAAAGCTTTGAAGCTCAAATGACTAATAATTGTTGGTAATGCTCAATCCCACATAGTATGGAAATACTATTGAGAATGGGTATTTATAGTATGGTATTCCCACTTCCTTGTTGAGTGAAAGAGAACAAAGGGGACTCTCATGCACCGTCGTCGTCGTCCGTCTCGTGGTCGTGGTCGTGGTCGTGGTAATACGTGTCTTCGACACGTCCGCGCGGATACTATTTTTTTAGAGAAGATTCTTGAGGAATTTCTCTTTGAAAGAAACAAATGGAAAAATGTGAAAGATTTCAACTGATATTTATAGGCTGCAGAGGACTGTTTAATTTCAAATGATAACAGCTGGGAGTTATTTGATTTAATTTCATGGGTTACATGATATAATTTCGGGAGTTATAACAGCTGAACAATTATGCAATGAACCTGAACTATTTTTGAGTCAGGTTCATCTAGACGTTTCAGCTGTTACAAAAGAAGAGATTTAATCCTGAAATTTTATAGACGATATTAACCCTATTTCTAGTCTATAAATAGAGAGTTATATTCAGCTTCTCAACTCACTCTCAAACATTCACAATTCACTTACAAAAGTGTTTTTTACAGTTCTCTCTGTGAGTTCTCTCTGAGTGTTTTCCAATCAGAAGAGCAATAATACCAGCAGTCCACTCCGATTTCGTGTGTACGGAATTCGGAGCGACTGTGTTAACCTCGGGGGACGGTCCGCCTACTGCAGCGATTACACACATCGGGGCGAATTCGTTTCTAAGGCAGTGGTTTTTTCCATGACACGGTTTACGAATTTATTCCTTTTAATTACTGTTTATATTTTCAGTCAATACTATCGTTATAGTTTTACAGTTCATATATCCAACAATAATCATGTTTAAGAGATTCAAAGACAAATACGCCGTTAAAAAAGGCAATCATTTTCCCTTGTTTTTCAGAGTAATATATATATATATATATATATATATATATATATATATATATATATATATATATATATATATATATATATATATATATATATATACACACACAAAGCGAAGTGGAAGTAGAGAAGTGAATAATTGTCTTGTGGCCGTTTAGTCTAGACTATAGACTTTTATTTTTCTAACTTAAAATTGGCCCTCTGATCGTGACGCGCATAGGGTTGGAAATCTTTTACATCAAATAATTGTGAACAAATCGGCCATTTCTGCTCCTATAATACGGGGGATATCAATTCTGCTTCTAAATAATTTATTTTAATATTTAATATGTTTAAGAGGAATGTTAATATTTAATGGTGCTCATTAAAAATCCAAATAAATAAAATATAACTGATAACGTATTTTTTCAAATTCATTAAAAATGATATATCAAATGGATATATATGTATATATATATATATCATTATTGTTCAATAGCTACCATTATTGTTCAATATAAATGAGTTAACACCGTGGCAATACTCTAGAAAAGTCTAGTGAATGTAGATTAGCCACATGTCCTGGTTGTCGCTTACAATATTTGAACGGAAATCTCCATACTGCACCACACAATATAAAAGAGGTCTGAATTGTAGTAGTTGTATTAAATTTTATATCAATGATCATGTCAATGGATTTGGCATGCCGAGTGTCCCTTTGCTGTCGTTTTGATGGACTTCTTTCTTGATTCATACATGTAGATAACTTCATCCGTGCACTATAATTTTACAAAATAAAATCCAAGGAATCTTGTCAATCAGACGAAGGGGCAGTTGGTCAAGAGTGAATATAATAGAATCATGACCTAATTGATGGAGCAAAACAATGAGGTGGCCGGGGCTAGACGAAAACAACCACAAGTAGAATTTTCCAGGTATACACCAGAAACGAAATGTAATGATACTTTTATTGAAAACTTTTTTTGCGGTCGGAAGAACCTGTCGGTTGCCGCTGATTAACACGTGTTCAAACACAGAATAATGCATGTGTATAATGTATTTTCCCTTTTTGTGGTGTACTTATTTTCAACTTCAAAATGATGGAACTTGGCAGTCAGCCGGTTTTCACAGCCGAGAATATTATCCAACGGCTCGATCATTAAAACGTTTTTATAATTTAGGGTTTAGAGGATGCAGTCTGTTCCCGGACGACGACGACTTGATTAAATCTCTGAAAATGTGCTCATGTTTCAATGTGTTGGTGCTTGGCAATCACTGGGCAAATCATTAATAAAGTAAAACACGTAGCATACACATAGATGTAATTTGTCGGAAAACAACTGCAAAAATCAGAATCATTCTCTGAATAGGAAAAATGCACTTCAAATGGATGACACCATGGAAAAACTAAAATAGATGATAATATTTCAGATTTCATTCCAGATAAAGTTTGAATATTTCAATTTTAGAATTTCAGATTTATTTTTATATAAAATTAATTAAATACATATGTATTACAAATATATAGTTAAGATTTAATAAAAAAATTACTATCTTTTAAAATATAAAAATAAGATTTTATCAAATTCAAATACATATTAAGAATTTCAAATTCATTAATAAAAAGATTTAGGGCTGAGAGACTTCTTGTCTCCTCATCTTTCTATTTTTTTTAACTAAAGGTTTGAGTTTGGTTTTTAAAACATACATAAGAAAGGGTAAAAATATTTTTTGTTTATCAGAGTATTTCACATTTGTTATTTATGGACAACAACTAATTTTTCACAAAAATTTACTTCATCTTAAGTTGCAACTTATAATAAATCAATTTTTATTTAACTCATATGCTAAATTATAAATTAAAACAAGGCCTTATCTCCGTTGGACTATGGAAGATATAAGAGCATTCTTTTTTTCTTTTTGTTTTTTGGTAAATAAAAGAAATAAACTATTGCACATATAAGAGCATTCTTTCTTTAGTAGACAGAACAAAAAAAAACACATTTTTTACAAAAATAGAAGCAACTAATTTTATTAAAATAGAGGAAATATCTAAAATTATAATAAAGGTTTATAACAAAAATCGTAAACTAAACATATAATAAATATATTCTCCTATAATCATTAAGATAAAAAAAACTAGCCGCTTAAACTATTAGAAGATCATCGACAAGCACTTTGCGAGAAAAATATCTACAATCGCATATTGAGTATCCAAATTTAATTTAAGGATCTAATGTAGGAAAGATCAACATGATAATAAATAAGAAAATAAAAGAAATACAGGGGATAACAACCAACGCCACCAAGATTGATGTGGCCTCATTCTAACCAATTATGGGAAAGAAAGGAAATGGTCATAAATATTGCAGCATAAGCCTTATCATGTATAGTAGGAGCGTTTCTAAATACTTGTGATGTGTAATAAAATATGATGAATTCTTTTTGGTGGGGTTTAACAGGTGGCGATCATCGTAAGTTAGGGCCCTTTAAGATTAACTTTACATGTGTCCCGAAGAAATTTGGTGAGCTGAGATTTTGGAATCTTCATTGTACTACTTGGCAAGCAGACATCGAGGCTTCCTTCTAACTGGATTTTCATATATGTAGAGTTTTCAAAGCTAAATATTTTTTACAGGATTGAATTGTAGACGCTACACAGCTACAGATGAGCTTGTTTGCGGCCAAACAGCGTGAAACAAATAGTTGAACTTTGATAATCAAAGCTGTTTTTCTTTCCTCTCCTTTCACGGGATTCAATGCAGAAAAACTAATCTCAGTGTGAGAAAATCTCCACATGTTCTGTACCAAGCTCCTTCGTGGCATTTCTAGTTATAAAGAGCTTCATTGGGTTAATTGGCAAGTACCTTTTGATATAATAATTGATTTCGATTTCTACAAAGAAATCTGTTCTGAGGACCTCCTAATTCAAACAATTGAAAACAGCACGAGGCCATGAATGCAGTTTTGTCTTATCAGATATGCTGCATTCTATTTGAAAATCAGGCAATGTGCTCCGCCAAAGTGAGGATCTTGACATGCTTTTTCTGCCTCAGCTCATGTGGGACTGGGCCGAAAACTCTGGTCCCTATCGGCTGACCTTGCTTGTCAACGAGAACAACTGCGTTGTCATCAAACTTGACCTCACTCCCGTCACAACGACCTCGCTGCATGGCAGCACGCACAACAACACCGTATACCACCTTCCCTTTCTTCACCTTTCCGTTAGGCATGGCCTCCTTTACAGATGCAATTATGGTGTCTCCCAATCTAGCCCCTTTCTTACCCTTCAACGGTTGTATGCACATCACCTTTTTTGCCCCCGAGTTGTCCACTACTTTGAGAACAGTTCTCATCTGTATAAAAGTCCTTTGTTGCTGCAGAATGAGACGAAATAATAAGGTTACCTTTGAAAGAGAATAATCACAAATGCAATCATCATAGAACCATACTAGTATCGTCTGGACTTAGACCATACACTCACAGCATCGAACATGGAACAAAATCAGATCACACTGACATCAAGCTCCAAGAACAGTTATCCTATTCAAATAAGCTATGTGAATCCTAACACGAGGTTCGTAATATACCTTTCATTAACAATAGGTTTAACTCCTGTCAAAACCACTCAAAATTACATTTAGGTAGTTCAGGTCACCATCCCGTCAAACCAATATGCAGATCTTTCGAAATCTGACTAGGGTTCTCACCATCTTCGATGCTGATTAGAAATGCCAACCCCTTGAACCATTTAGTTAATAAGACATGCATGGCTGAAAATTTTATCCCACAAAAAATGACATATGACCAACCTTTTCAAACCTGTTTCCACAGGCTTGTCTATTACCAGAAGTTTGGGGACCTTATCCCAATTTTCCAACGATAATATGTAATCAAGAATGAACCCCAGCATGCACTCCATGTGAATGATTTAACAGATCATAATACAAACTTAAAAGAAACAATATGTTAGAAATCATTCTGACCTGATACAGGAAACTGCCACATACAATCTCTCTTGATGTGCTTGGTAAATTAGCAAAGTTGTTTCGAAGGCCATCCATCAACGAACGGCCCACTGCATATACCGTAGAGTCAAACAAAAGAAACAGAAACGAGACTAGATGCAAAATGAACTATGTACATCGAGCTGGAGGTGTTTAAATCTCATGATACATCAACTTATTTACAGCAATTGTAGGAGGAACAAAAGCAACACATTTCTGCGGATGGTCATATAGCAAGCGTTAAGAAGCTAATTGATGGATCCCAGCACTTACCTAGAAGATGAAAACAAGGGGGGGAAACAGCATGATAGGACAGGCATGGCCAGATTCACAAACAACTCAACCTAAAATCCCACACAAAGAGACTTCTTTGTTGTGAAACCAATAATAAGAAGCTTCCTAAAGCTATGCTCATCGGATGAAGAATAAGTGACTTAAAGAATCAGAAAACTCAGAGGAAAAAAGATCAAAACATAAATTTGTAGACAAAATGCAAATGACTTCCAGGCGGAGATGAGAAATAACTCTCCTAAAGAGACTAGATAAGTGCTAAAATCCTAACCCCTCCAAAAAGAAACGTTGAAATTCCAGGACGGTATAGTTAAAACCCTTCACTTATGTTGGGCCAAACATATAGCTAACTACAGGGATTTCATATATATCAATCAAAGGAAAATCGGTGCAAGAAAAACTAAAACTTCATGCATATGGGTATGGGTTGAATCGGAATGCTTTGTACGCTAAGTGTTCATAATCCGCAAGTGCCCATTAACAGAGAGAGCGGGAAATATAAACCCTTAAAAAAACTAACAAACACTCATGTAAAGAAATGGAAACATACCCCCGGAGCATTTGGAAGCAAAACTTGCAGCCATTTCTTAATTCGCCAACTTTAACAGAGGGAAGAAGGGAAAGGACTGAAACTTAGAACCCTAGGAAAGGAGTTAGAACCTGAGAGCATGAGGAGACGATTGGGTTTGGGCTCAAGCTAAAGTAGGCCTAGCCCAAAATATTATATGCGCCTCAAATAAAAGTATTTTCTTTTCCTTTTTGTCTGAACAATCTTCAATAAATTATAAAAGAAAATAAATTCTTATTTTGATTTGACCTTTTTTCAATAAATCCTACATTTTCTTCAATAAATTATATAGCAAATAGAAGCATACAAATCAACAAGTGATTGGTCAAAATCAACCCACGCCATATTATTTATGCATGCATTAAAAAATAAATAAATTAGGTGTATAATTGAAAGAATGAGTTAATTGGTATAAAACGTGGCCATGCAGCATTCTTTCAAAGTAAAAGCAAAGACCTAAGAAACTATGTAATTAGCTCTTTGACTCTCACTCGTATTTTAGATTCTGAAGCTACATGTATGTTCGGTAAGTTAACCAGCTGATCTGTTTATTTCTCATAATAGGGAAACGTGTAATTTTACGTTTACTATCCTTATAAAACTTTAAAGATAGTTTAAGGTCTTGTCCAAATTGTCAAGATGGCCGAGTGGGTCTAGGGCGCCAGTTTCAGGTACTTGTCCGAAAAGGCATGGGTTCGAATCCCATTCTTGATAATTTATTTATATAAAAAAAAAGATATATGTTTTATAAATAAAATTTTGTATGATTATATCTTAAAAGAATTATAAATTATACATCTATATTTTTGTGTGAATTTTTTTAATGCCAGGCTTCTATTATATCTAAAATTGGATTATAATGTATTCATAATCAAATAAAAAATTATAGTAGAATTATCTTTCGATACCTGATACTCAACCCTAAACTTTTATTCTAAAAACATCCAATTTCTTATCACTAAACTAAAAGACTTTGAAGGATTGATCCATAGGCGATAGAAGTCTATGAAAGATAGTAGAAGAAATTAAGTATATTCATTACTTGCGTTTATGTCTGTAAATTTTCCCGGATATCTTAAGTCAGGACCTCAGTGTTGACCCAGAAAACAGACAAAATATTCAGCACCAAACCAACACAGCACATGGTGGTGAAATCACCTCATGAGTGAGAAAAAAAAAAAAAGGAGAAAAACTTGAACAGAAAGTTAAAGACCTGAAGTATACTGCTGCTTAATTATTTCCCCAGACAACGACAGTTGCAATGGAGAGACAAAGACTCATCAAATACAATAATAAAATCCAGTCTGTTTTCGTTTTCAGCTTCTGGCATCGAGAAGTCAGCCAAATGCATTGATCCATGATGGACTGCACGCTCTCCCTTTTCACCACGACACGTGCCTTTGCTTCTTACCCCCTCTCTCTCCACTCTGCCTGCACTCACGAAAACAACCAACCCTCTCTCCCATTGAACAACTCAAACCACTCCGCTTTTTCAAGTTCCCCATGTACCGTTTTCTATTAATATATATAGTACTAGTATTTTCGAAACTATTTTTAATGATTCTTCAATATAATATTGTGAAGAATATTAGAGAAAGTGTGGGGTGATTAGATTAAGGTTTGGCTTCTTTTTAACCGGCAAGTGATGAAACCTTGAACAGCGAGAACACGTCTTCGGGTATGATTGTTTTTTTGCATCTAAATAATATACAAAATCATCAAATCCAACACCAACGCATGTGATTGTTCCTGTGTTGCCTTTGCTAATGCCCTACCCCATCAGTTCTTTTCTTTTCTTTTCTGTTTTTACATATATACGGGGTTCGTACTTGGTGCAGAAATGATGGAGGCCATCATCTTTGAGAGATAGATAAAGGATTGCCTTTGCTTTTACTTATTGGATTCAATGGAAACCATTATAATAAATATTATCCACGTCTTTGGTTTTATACGCTTTCAGCTTATTGGAGCATCTCCTCCCCAGTTAAGGCTAACCCTCACGTTTTAAATGATTCTATTTTAGTGGGCTGCTCTTGCTTTTCTTATTTATAGTAATTATATAGTTAAAATATGAATAGCGATTTTGAATTTAATTTCTCATAAGAATTTCATTATCGGGTCAATAAATAAGCTAGCAAATCATACGATAATAAAGAAATCTAATAACATCTTTTTATCTTTGATTTTTTTAAATTAATAATTAAATTAAATTTTTAAAATTTAAAATTTAAAATTTAAAATTTTCTGATAATGTGATATTATGAAATTAGATTATAGGCAAATTGAATTGGAGACTGATAATGTAGATATAAACACATAATTCTCATTCAATCACTTGCAAATCTAAGGTGCCTCGTGAGAATGCCATCGTCGAATCTGTTCATAAGCTTTTCCAACGTAATTGAGATTTGAGAAGTGAGACCAAAACATATGAGAATAGAGCAAAATAACATAATAAACACTCGAAAAGTTATTTAACATGAAAAAGCTGATGTGACAGTTTGTCAGCAACATCCAGTCAGCAATACTAGAAGGTGGATGGACGGCCGGAGCATTTCAAGTATTTTAAATTTAAATTTTTTGGATTTATCTTTTTATTTTTAGATTTTAAATTCAAACAATTATCTTTACATTTTCAGCATATTTTAGGGGTTTTAGAAGGCTATAAAAACCCCTAGGGTAAGCCTAATTCATCATTTCATTCATCGAATTCTTTTTTTTCTTTTAGATCATTGCAATCTTTCTTTCTTTGTTTTTATAAATTCTATTTTTAGTTTTTACTTTGCTTATTTTTAAAGATTTTATGTTTAAAATGCTAAGTATGATTTTTGTCATGCTTAGCTAATTTTCTTTTTAGTTTTCACTTTGCTAATTTTTAAAGCTTTTATGTTTAAAATGCAAGTATGACTTTTGTCTTGCGCTTATTTTCAAAATCAAAATGATTTTTAAAACAAAGATTGACGTTGGTCAGGATGATGTTACGATTAAACTTGTGGAAGGAAGGATCGACTTATTGAAAGCACATTCGACTTCCTGGGAATACACTTAGCAAAATCGTTTGCTAAGAGAGAATTGAGATCGGAATCAATTATTATTGAAACAACATAATTTGAGTCGTTCTTTTACGAACTCAAATGGTCCTTGATCTACAACAATTGATGTTGATTAGATTAATTTCCAAAGTTGGAATCAAAAGTTACACTTGGGTATTCGGTATACAAAGCATAATCATAATGATTGATCCTTGTAGACAAGTAATAGACGTAAATCCCAAAGTAAAAACCATTTTCAATAATCAGAGGACACTGAGTCAAAAAGACAGCCCAAGGCTGATTTTACCATATTGAATTTATTTCTTTTAAATCTTCTTCTTAGTATTATTTTACTTTTATTTTAAATCTTCTTTATTTTCTTGTTTTTACTTTATTTTATTCTCATCATCTACAAACACCCTCATATTTACCCAATTAAATACTCAACTCTTTTTCTGATTCAGAAATCAAATCAAGAGTAAATTAAGGAGTTTTCTTTAGTCTCTGTGGGATCGACCTTTACTTCTCTCTATGTGATCGACCCTTACCTCTATTTTACTACATTTAATTCTCTTTATTTATTATTTGAGAATAATGAATTATTTTGATGTGAAAACGACATGCGTCAATGTGTTTACTTATGTATTATTTGAAACAATTGTTTTTTAATTGTATTTGTTAATTACAAGTAAGTATTTGTTTATAATTTTCTTCGTATATGGATAAGCATACACTGTAGACCTGACGGTTTGAATTTATAACTTTTAAAAAGAATAACACTCATTTTTATTGCTTGAAATTGAATTTAATATTCTTTAGAAGTTCATTTACAGGTCTAGTTCGGCCTTGGTACAGTCTTTTGTTCCTTTCTTCCTAGAGCAAGTAAACCAATGCATTCAAAGCAATCCTCATTACAGTAGATAACAATGATTTTCCTTTCCAGTTTGAGCTCGCCATTTCCAAGAATTCTTCCCAAAGGTATCCTGTAAAATGCAAACCAGAAAAAGAGAAGATGCGTTCCCATAGAAAAACAGCAGTAGGGCATAATAAGAAAAGATGATCCCTAGTTTCCACATCATAGTTACATAAAAGACAAGAGCAGTCATTAGTAAGACCGATTCGGTGAAGACGATCCTTGGTGGGTAGTCTGTCAAGTAGAGCCATCCAGGTTATCATACTATGTTTTGGAATGTGCAGGGAAAACCAAACGAGTTTTTGCCAATGGACCTTCTGATTTTTAGACCGAATAGAGTCCCATATCGAGCTTGCATTGATAGGACCCGGATGAAGGAAATTTTGCACCTCTGGTCTCAATTTAAGAAGTCTTCTGAGACACCAGCTTGTGTTGAGCTTAGCTTCAATAGACCAGAAATCTTTGTTCTTAAAAACATAATTATGAAGCCAAGCTACCCAAAGTGAGCCTTCACCAGCAAGAATTTGTTTGATTAAGGCTAACATGCAAGCTTTATTCCAGGTCTTAATGTCTTTGATCCCAAGACCACCTTCCGATTTCAAGGAGCAAATTTGCTCCAACTCACACGTTCTCCTATTGCTGATTTGTCAGAACCTTTCCAAAAGAAGCGGGAACAAATCTGCTCAATTTTTTTCAAGATTGAATTAGGCAGGAAGAGTTGTCTGCACCAAAAATTAGTAATTGAAGCTAGCACAGTTCGGATGAGCTTCAGTCTCCCAGAGTAGCTGAGCAGTTTACGAGACTAATGGTGCAATCTAGATTTGATATTATCGATGAGGATCGCACAGTCTTTTTCAGAGATTTTCCTTGTGAGTAGCCGAATTCCTAGGTAACGCACTGGCAAATAGCCAAGATTAAAGCCAGTAGCTTGCTTGATAGTCTCAATCGTACATGAGGACATTCCAGCTGCATAGATGTAACATCCGCAATACCGAGTTAGTGACTAAATTGAAAAGTTTTAGAATTTGGTGACTAGCGTAGAATAATGAAATAATTTAATGATTATTGGAAATATATGTTGAAGGTTATTTAGTAATTATTAAAGAAACTAAGGGTAAAATGGTCATTTAACCA